AACCACAAAAATTTAAAAATTATATAAAAGTTTCGTGATAAAAAATGGATGGAAAATAACTGTATAAACTGAGTAAATTGCAGTAGACATTTTGGGTATAATATTATTTATATTATCTTTCGTTTCTTATAGAAATAAATGTGATAAAAAGTAATTTCTTAACTATTACTGTTTTCAATAATAGATATTTTAATTTTTCACAAATAAAAATCGCCGCATATTAATGTATTAATTAATTAATATGAATATTCTACAAGTTACTTTTAAAACCAAATTCATATGAATTGAGAAATAAATAATTAATGTTGACTTAAATTTTTTTAAACCAAATTTTGTCAAAATGGAGAAATTTTATTGATTCTAAAATTTCATCATAGAAAAAAGGTAAATATTTTTTTAGGAAAGAGGTAAATAACTTTTATTTTAATTTTTAATGGCACATTATAATTTTAAATTACATTTATATATATATATGATGTAAATAGAGAACAATTTTCGAAAGGTTATAAAAATATTGTATTCAACATACAATGTAAATTTAAAAAAAACAAACATTTAATTAAATTATTTATTTTTATAACATTATAAATATTCAATAAATTAATTATATTAAATAATAACAAAAATAAAGTTTGTTAACCGCAATTGAAATTATGTCAAATCCAAGAGTGAAAACTATTTTATTATAAACTTTTGTTTATATTTAATTGCGTTCAATAACATAGTTCTAACCATAAAATTATTGCAACCTGAATTCAGATTAAACATTTGATTTTCTCTTAAATAAGCGAAAATTTTTTCATTTAGAGTAGGTAAAATTAAAATTTCTCCAATTTTGGTGTCAAAATGATACCAACAGGATAAAATTTGTTGCATACATTTTTAACACCGAATTTAATGTCAAAACAACACCCAGTTTTTTCTGTGTCTAATAAGCTATTCTACAAGCTTTTGTATGTATTTTACTATAAGTTAAATATACTAATGCTTAGTGAGTACGTACTGTACACTAAAATGGTTTACTAATGAACATTACAGATATAATTGTTGATTACTGAACAGTATAATACAATGCTAAAAATACATTTCGTAAAATGTAATTTTAAGTTTTTTCGACAGTTTTTACATTTACGAATAGTCTTCTAAAAGCTTGTTCAGTCAATTTTTGGATCCATTTTAGTCGAACCTGTCGCTGCTTGAGGACCACTGTGTATAGAACATTTGTTAGAGAATAATCCAAGAAAAAATTTCCGGATTTCCCTGGCGGATTGGGTAAACCGAGATGTAACCGTATTGGGTTACGATTCGGTTACGTTTCGGTTACTTGTGAAAAATTGTCGTTAATCGACGAAATATGTTATGTAAATAACTATTAGGAATGGTTAATAGACATTTAGAGGTCTTATTTATACAATAATAACAATAAATTAAGATATAATTACTCAATAATAAGTGTTTTAAGTGTACAATGCATACAGTTGTTGAGTTACCATATATGTATATTACCATCAGCGGCAGCTGTGATACGCGCGTTAAACACTAGATGGCGTTGAACATTACTTTGTGAATGAATTTCTAAAACACTTAATATTATATTATAATATTTTAATATAAAAATTATATACAATAATTTTATTATTATTATATAGGATTAATTTTCTTAAAGTTCTTCGACTTTAAAGAGAAAATTCTCATCATGGCACTCGCGTTTCACGCTCGAATGTATGATGCGGAATTAGAAGTGTTTTTGAGTATTTGGATTTTTTATTATTTAAATATATGAAACATTTAAGCAAACGAATACATTTAAGGGGTTAGTATCTCATCTCCATTATTTTTTTCAAATAGTTTTTTTAATTAAACAATTTATTTTATTTACTTCGAACTTGTTATACATAAAAGTAAGGGTTATATATACTATTTCCAGTTGAAAAATCTTGTACAATATCATGTACATTTTCTTGTTCAAGTTTAAGTACTTGCACATTCGCGTGATCTTGTACAAGAGCAGAAAACGAACCTGTAAAAAGAATTGAAACAAAGTACATGAACCTGTACACTGTACATGCAAGTGTATTTGTTTGCGACTTTGTGACTTTTGTGTGTGCAAAATTGCAAATCAATTTGTTTCGATTTATAAAAGTTATTTTGTCAACAACATTTTATGTCTATATACGTACGTACATACATACATACATACATACAGACACACAGACAGACACTTTCGCCGGACAATTAAACCACTGTAACTTTTACAATTTTATTTTAATCAAAAAATTTTATTTAAAAAAATTGTTTTCTTTTTCCTCGACTATAATGCTGTGTAGTGAAAAAAAATTTTTTTTTTTTTAAATTAAATTTCAAAATTTTGAAAATCCCGCAGTTTTTGCATTTTTTGATGAAAATGGCTGGCTAACGAACTTAACCTGTATTTTGATACTAACTTTGTGTATGCAAAATTGCAAAACGATTTGTTTCGATTTACAAAAGTTATTGTGTCAACAACATTTTGTGTCTACATACGTACATACATACATACATACAGACACACAGACAGACACTTTCGCCGGACCATGATTTTTCGACTCAGGGCACCTCAAAACGTAAAGATTTCATGGAAATAGTAAAAGTCAATTTTCGACCAATTATAATACCTTCTCATGTGATGAGAATGTAATAGATCGATTTATTAAAACAACTTTTTTCATTTCTACAAATATAAAAAAAAAATTTTCTCAATAAAAATTTTTTTTTTCTCAATGACATGAGAAAAATTAATTGTGACACAAAGAAATCTATTTTTCCCTAAAAAAATTTTTTTCTTAATAATAATTTTTTTTTCACAATAAAATGAAAAGATTAATTTTTACACAAACAAATTTTTTCTTAATAAAAAATTTTATTTTTTCAATGAAATGAGAAAAAGTAATTGTGACACAAAAGAAACTTTTTTCCTCAATAAAATAAGAAATATTAATTTTGAAAAAAAAAAATTTTTTCTGAATAAAAAAATTTCTTTTCTCAATGAAAGGAGAAAGATTAATTTTGACAGAAAAAAAAACTTTTGTTCCTAATAAAATTTTGTTTTTATTTGTACAAATGAAAAAAGTTGTTTTAATAAATCGATCTATTTTTTTAAAACTTATATTCACTTACACATTTGACACTCAAGTGTTTGATTTTAGAAATTCATTCACAAAGTAATGTTCAACGCCATCTAGTGTTTAACGCGCGTATCACAGCTGCCGCTGATGGTAATATACATATATGGTAACTCAACAACTGTATGCATTGTACACTTAAAACAGTTATTATTGAGTAATTATATCTTAATTTATTGTTATTGTTGTATAAATAAGACCCCTAAATGTCTATTAACCATTCCTAATAGTTATTTACAACATATTTCGTCGATTAACGACAATTTTTCACAAGTAACCGAAACGTAACCGAATCGTAACCCAATTCGGTTACAACTTGGTTAACTGACATTTATGTCGAAGCGAGAAAATAGGGAAAAACTGTTTGCTTTCAGAAAACTAATAAGAATTAAAAAATTATTAAATTTAACTTCACATACTTGGTATAATGATGGTGCTCTATTTAATTATGAAATAAAAAATTAATTATTTAAACAAATTATATGAAATAATGCACTTGTGTGTTTTTCCGAATGCAAATATGAAGTAAAAAGTTTGGGAAAGACCTTTGCGTAGTGTCCACGAAATAGGTACGCGAGCTCGGTCTGCTGATTTCATGGAAGAACTTAGCTAACTGCAGTGACGTCATGTGGTAAGGGGACAGTTGCAACAGTTCTATAATACGTTTTACGAATTCACAAATCATTTTAAAAGTACATGAACACTGCAAATAAATTTTCACCAAATAAGAACTAATTAGACAATGTTAATTTTGAATAATGATAATAATAATATACGTTTAAACTACTGAAATGAAATGAACAATCTTTATTATTAAGTTTAAAAACATTAAAAAAAATCGTCTGAGTTAATTTTACTTACAATTTTCTTCGTTTTTTATTTCTCAATTTCAACTTGATACACTTTTCATTCCGCTAAACATAACCTCTGAGTTGAAGTTTTGACAGAAGCAAGGGAAACAGCAGCTTACTGCCTGCGACCCGAGGACAATCCGAGTTTAGCCGAATTGCAGTTAAGTAGTCGTTCGGCTCTGACTCGACTCAATTTTTGATGGAAGAACTTAGCTAATTGCAAGCGCTGCAAATGTGAGGTTTTTATTTCAAATCCAACGCTCAGACTCGACTACTTATTTGATACAAAAAACACACAACTGCCTTTGACTAAGTTTTTCCTTCAAATCTTATATTCGAGCTCGCAGCCTCATTTGTTTTTTGGACTACGCAAAGTACTTTCCTTAACTTTTTATCAAATATTCTTTCATTTTCTGGAGTTTTTAAGATTTTTAATAACTATTTTTTATAAACAATAATTTGCAAAAATTATTTAAACTATAACTATTAGACGCAGCTTTTTCTTATGAGTTCATTGATACCAAAAACTCATTTTTCGTCAAAATGTCAGTTAACTAAGTTTTTATATCACACGGCAGAATACTTATGGAACTTATATCTAAGAACAGTTCTGGAGCAAAAAAATAAAACAGTTATGTAACATATTAGGAACATTGTTCTAGAACACTGTTACCATTTGGTTCTATAACTGCTACATGTTATTGATGGCACAATTGTTCTAGAACAATGTTCTTTAATTTTAATAGAACAATTATAGAACGTGTTTGCTGGGTATTTTTATAATTGAAACCTCCAAAAGGATCATATTATACTCTGTGGATGACCCATAAATATATTTTATTGATATAAAGAAATTCTCTATTTTTTAACAATATCTGGATGATGTTTATTCAGTTATTAATCAAAGAAATGAAAGTGCCCTCGTTCTAAAGAAATACCTATATATTATTATCCAACACCAATATTTGCATATATTATATAAACTAACCTCAGGATTGTCTCGAACTTGTTGGAATTGCTTCACCATCCCTTCTCTGTGACATTTTCGATATTTCATTATACCTCGTAATATTCTATCCATTTTCGAACATGTATATGTTGTTTAAGTAACAAAATACCTGCACTTAAAAAAATTGATATAAATAAATTAAAATATTTCTTTCTTTATATACTAACTACTAATTGTAAGTTGTTAGTTCTTTTTAAGAAAGTTAAAATTTCTTAAATCGCCACCAAGAATTCACTTTGGAATTTGAAAAAAATAAGCTATGCACAAGGACAGCTTATTTAATAAATATTATTACGTGCTACCGAAGAGATGAAGTTCAAGTAGATTTTAACACAGGTTGAGTACACTTTTTCACACTATATGTATTGGTAAACTTCTTTTTTATTAATCTTTTGTTTTAACAGTAAACATATTAAACATAGTCTTTTATGACAGAAGTAATGGTCATTTCATGAAAATTTTTATGAAAGCTAGACCATTCAACTACATATTAACATAACCCTATTGAAAAAAAACACGTATAATTATACGTATAATAATACGTATAATTATACGTATAATTGTACGTATAATTATACGTATAATTGTACGTATAATTATACGTATTATTATACGTATAATTGTACGTATTATTATACGTATAATTATACGTATAATAAGACATACGAATTTGAAACAAGAATTATACGCATAATTATACGTATAATTATACGTATAATAATACGTATAATTAATTATACGTATAATAATACGTATAATTATACGTATTATTATACGTATAATTATAATTCTATTAAAAATAGAATAATAGAATAGAATAGATTAATTAGTAGCAAAATTGCGCTGAAAATTATTAGAATTTTTAAAATGCAAATTAAATTTCACGAAAAAAAATATCGTCGAATGTCAATTCAAGCAGTCACCCATCCAAGTACTAACCGCGTCCAACGTTGCTTAACTTCCGTGATCTGATGAGAACTTGTTCCTTAGCCTTGGTGTTTCCGCTGTCTTGTCTTGATTAATAACTTTGTCGTATAAGTATTGTATCGCACCTAACCTCACTTTTAGTGATACTTATACGACAAAGTTATTAATCAAGACAAGACAGCGGAAACACCAAGGCGAAGGAACAAGTTCTCATCAGATCACGGAAGTTAAGCAACGTTGGACGCGGTTAGTACTTGGATGGGTGACTGCTTGAATTGACATTCGACGATATTTTTTTTCGTGAAATTTAATTTGCATTTTAAAATTTCTAAAAATTTTCAGCGCAATTTTGCTACTAATTAATCTATTCTATTCTATTATTCTATTTTTAATAGAATTATAATTATATGTATAATAATACGTATAATTATACGTATAATAATACGTATAATAATACGTACAATTATACGTATAATTATACGTATTATTATACGTATTATTATACGTGTCTATATTTTATAATATTTAGGTATATATTAATAAACAAAAATATATCCCTATTGAAAAAAAACACGTACAATTATACGTATAATTATACGTATTATTATACGTATAATTAATTATACGTATTATTATACGTATAATTATACGTATAATTCTTGTTTCAAATTCGTATGTCTTATTATACGTATAATTGTACGTATAATAATACGTATAATAATACGTATAATTATACGTATAATAATACGTACAATTATACGTATAATTATACGTACAATTATACGTATAATTATACGTATTATTATACGTATAATTATACGTGTTTTTTTTCAATAGGGAAAATATATAAACAAAAGTTTTAGCTAAAAAATAATTTAGGATATAATAATGACATTATAAAGTCAATAATTAATTAAATCGTTTTTCATTGTAGAATATTTTATAGCAAGAAAACATTACTGAAGTTTTAACCAAAAAAAATTTCAATATTTTGAAAAATTATAAATTATCATTAATTTTATCATTTTCTAGTAAAACGTATACTTATGTAGATTGGTGGATTTTTTAACGCAATAAATATAATGGTAGTATCTACATATTAACTTAAATTTAAATACAGACAAAAGTTTTTTTTAGCTAAAAAGTAAATTTTTGATTTTTTAACCTTAGAAGGAGTAACTGGGGTGTCTAGACACCCCACCCTATTGAAAAAAAACACGTATAATTGTACGTATAATAATACGTATAATTATACGTATTATTATACGTATTATTATATGTACAATTATACGTATAATAAGACATACGAATTTGAAACAAGAATTATACGTATAATTATACGTATAATAATACGTATAATTAATTATACGTATAATAATACGTATAATTATACGTATTATTATACGTATAATTATAATTCTATTAAAAATAGAATAATAGAATAGAATAATAATAGAATAATTAGTAGCAAAATTGCGCTGAAAATTTTTAGAAATTTTAAAATGCAAATTAAATTTCACGAAAAAAAATATCGTCTAATGTCAATTCAAGCAGTCACCCATCCAAGTACTAACCGCGTCCAACGTTGCTTAACTTCCGTGATCTGATGAGAACTTATTCCTTCGCCTTGGTGTTTCCGCTGTCTTGTCTTGATTAATAACTTTGTCGTATAAGTATCACTAAAAGTGAGGTGCGATACAATACTTATACGACAAAGTTATTAATCAAGACAAGACAGCGGAAACACCAAGGCGAAGGAATAAGTTCTCATCAGATCACGGAAGTTAAGCAACGTTGGACGCGGTTAGTACTTGGATGGGTGACTGCTTGAATTGACATTCGACGATATTTTTTTTCGTGAAATTTAATTTGCATTTTAAAATTTCTAAAAATTTTCAGCGCAATTTTGCTACTAATTATTCTATTATTATTCTATTCTATTATTCTATTTTTAATAGAATTATAATTATACGTATAATAATACGTATAATTATACGTATTATTATACGTATAATTAATTATACGTATTATTATACGTATAATTATACGTATAATTCTTGTTTCAAATTCGTATGTCTTATTATACGTATAATTATACGTATAATAATACGTATAATTATACGTATAATAATACGTATTATTATACGTACAATTATACGTGTTTTTTTTCAATAGGGCAAGCAATATTCAAAGTATGTTCCTGACTTAACCAATCATATTTTCGCGACGGGACCATAACGATAATTCAATTTGTACATCTGACAGTTGATCTACGGTAGTGCGCGCGAAACTAACATGGAAAGTAACGGATTTCATTAATTATTATTATCACTTTTAAGAAAGCCTCAAATAAAAATAATATTAGGTATATAATATATAGTTAGAAAATAAAAATTAGTAAAGTCATTTGAAAAATTAAAATTTTACTATAGGAAACTCAAATGACAATTTTTATTAAGAATTTTAGAAATATCATTATAAAATGATTACGTTAATAGGAAATCATGCTTCTTATATATATATATATTTAAAATTTCATTATAGACTGAATTCATTTCAAATCAAGCAGGCGAAACATCTTCGGAGTTAAAAATCAATTTTTTCCGAAATTTGGTTTTTCTTAGTTTTTTAGACGGCACATATTTTTTGTGCTCAATATCAATAAAAGAGAAAAAAAAATTTTTATTTTATTTTTTAAAAGAAAAATTTCATTTTTCTCAAGAAATACAATATCAAAAAAAAAAATTCTCTGACAAAAGTTGTTCCTCTTTAAAAGATGTAAAAAAAATATCTCATGAAAATTTTCTCCATATCTCTTTGTTGTTGATATATTTCGCAATTTGAATGGTAACAGTAGACTTTTGCTATAAATAATAATATGTTTACTATAAAAACAACAGATCAATAAAAAAGAAACTTACACACAATTTCGTTGCGTCAACTCTAGCGGATAGCAAACTATTATTACTTTATTAATATTTACTCTCTAAATTTGAATCAGCGGAATCTCGCTGATTCTCTGCTATAAGTATACCACTGATTCTAATCAGCTTATATGCACTGATGAATTAGTGGAATTTCACTGATTTTTCAGCGTATATCCGCTGATTGGTACCAGTGGTATACTTATCGCTGATTCAGAGAGTAAATTTTAAAGTGAACGATGTTTGTAAGTGAGTTTAACAGTGTCACACTTTTTATTATTTTTAACAGTGAAAAAGTGTTTAATACGAATAAAAACTGTGAGAAATTATATTAGGAAATTTTAAAGTATATCTCATTTTAATATTAGGTACCACTTTATATTGGTCTGTATTTAATGTACAAAAAATAAACTTTCTAGTGGGCAAAAAACCATGTTCGTTATAAAACCATTTTTAGAACGTTTCATGTCCGCCAAGTAATGTTCTAAAACATTTAAAGAACATGGATGTTCAGATTTAGGAAAGTGTGTGTGAATATAATACTGTAATATATTATAAACAGTAAAATTATTTGTATCCCAAAAAAATATCACGATAAGAAAATCTTTTTTTTGGTCAAATTTTCTCTGTAAAAAATTAATTTTCTAAATTTTGAGGTAAATGGGGATAGTCAGTTTCATGCGTTTAAATCTAAATTTTTTTCTGTCGCATAAAATTAATCCTAGGAATGTAAATAACAACTTAAAAAAAATAAACCCGCAAATATTACCCTTTTAAGGAAGAGACTTACGTAATTTGTGAAAAATGGCGATTTGTCCCCATTTACCCCAACTGACCCTATTAAATTAAATATTTATTAAATTAATTATTATTTGAATCTAATTATTTGTTTGAAAGTAAAAAATAAAATATCTAATTAATTCAAATTTTCCAAATGTTCCCGCGCTGCGCAGTTGGCTCTGCTCTGGACTTTAGTTCGCTCAACGCCACAGGGAGGGTGAACATCACTCTTTCTCGAAGTTGAGGTGTCACTAGATTTGTATATAAGAGGTGAACAAAATTTTTTTTTGTCCTACCTGCCCGAAAAGTATGTTATTTCGGGCACTTAAAGCGGGCCCAAAGTATCTCATTGTCGCTCGGGGTTAGGCAAGCGGGCGTAAAAGTACTTTTACGCCCGCTTCTTTTGGTCAAGAAGGCCTAATGGAATTTTACTGTTTATAATATATTACAGTATTATATTCACACACACTTTCCTAAATCTCG